TAAAATTATTTAAATTTAATTTTACTTAAAATTTAAATTTTATTTTACAAAAATGACCAATTTTTTTTTAAACAAAAATATTTTTGAAGAAACTCATAAAGAAAATACTTAATTGCAAACTAATCTTTCAAATTTGCAATTTTAATATTTAGATGAAGAAAATAATTTATCTTTATTAGATAATTCTGAAATTCAAGAAATTTCAAAAAATAATCTTTTAGAAGATGAAACTTTAACTGAAGAAAAATTTCTAAATTTAAAATATTATATTATAAAACAAAAGATATTTTAAAAGATCAAGAAAATAATAATCAAAATTTAGATAATAAAATTAATTTATTACAAAATAATGAATTTAAAGAATCTTTTGATAAAAAATGTTGTGAAAAAAATTGTTTACAAATTTAATATGATTATTCAATAGCTTTATTAAGACATTTAAATTTCAAAAAACTTTTTAAATCTTTTCAAGATATATATTTATTAGGTATTATTTCTGCTACTAAATGACCTAAGGTAGTTAAAAATTTAAAAAAACCAAACTTTTTACAAAATATATTTTTGAAGAAAAATCAATTTGTTTTAATGCTTTTAAAACAATCTATGGACTTGAAAACAAAAAATAGAAAAATTTAAAAGAACATTTTGAAGAAAATGATATAAATTTAAGAAAAAATTCTAAAATAGATAAAATAGAAAATCAGGCAATATCATTTGAAATAGTAATAAGAATTATTACTTTTATAATAAATTATGCAAAACAAAATAGTTTACTATCTCTAGGTATTATAATTATTAAATTAATTTTAATTAAATATTTTTATTAATTTATATAAATTTTATAAGACAAAGTTTTCATGATAATACTAGTGCTATTATATATTTATTAGCAGATACAACTTATTTATCTTTACATATTCAATATTTAGAAACAACTGAAAATAATAATGAATATAAAGTTTGTTATACAACATTTAACAAAATTTGAAAAAAATTTTTATCATATATTAAAAAATTAACTCCTAGAAGTGATTTATATTTAAAATATAAAGATATATGATTTAATGCAAATTATTAGACAATTGAAGAAAAAGAAAATAATATATTAGAATAGCATAAATATATTAAATAGGCACATAAAGAAAGAGAAATTTATAAGTAAATAATATTATTTATATTTATTTTATTTATTAAATAATATTAATTAATTTATTTAAATTTAATAGAAATTATATTAATATTGCATATAATAATATTTAAAAATTTGGAATTAGTAATTTAGTACATCCTAAAAAACCTAATTCTATAAATATTACAACTCATATTTCTTGAGATTATGCACAACAAATTCAATTACCATTTTCTTCTTAACAAGAAGTAAGTTTTTTATAAATTTAAAATAATAATTTTATTTAAATTAATTAAATTATTTAAGTATTGCTAAACATCATCGCAGGTGACTATCACCACAGGTGATCATCACTGCAGGTGATCATCACTACAGATGATTTTACCATAGATAGATGTTATACAAATATTACAATATTCTAAGACAGATCATGTAATTTATATTCAGAAATTGAACTACCCCAGGATCACTAACAAATTACTAGTAACTATAATAAAATTTTCATGATCACATGATAATATACAAAAAATTAGCCAATAAAAAATCTTGACTTGGTGTAACATTACACAATTAAAATAAACATACATTTAGAAAAAAGTGCTTTTATCTTAAAAATTCACTTAAGAAACAACTTTTTATACATTAACAACAAAATTTTTTGAGTAATTTTACTATATGCTCCTCAATATATAGCCTTAGTTTAAATGCTAACCTTAACATAAATGAACTTAACAATTTTATTGACTATCACATGATTACGAAAATTTTGTTAGCAATGCTGAGAAAGATCCAGGATCCAAAAATTAAGAACTAAAGCCATGCTGTATGCAGTTAGTTATTTTTTTAATATAGTAGCATATAGATCATATATTAAATGTATACAACTATGACCTCAAGAAATTATACTTTTACTATTGCTATTATATTTTTACATATTAATAAGCATCATACAATAATTTTTAGAACATGACTATCAAATTATATGATCCGATATGCTTTTGGTATTCCAATTAGTTATGCAAATAAGCTTAGATAAAATCTAAAATTTTATTATGTATGTAAAGCAGTTTCATTCTAGTATGATCTATATAACAAGTGTTATTAACTTGCAACTCAGGTTCCAAATAATATTGCATTTGTAAAGAGATGATCAAGTAACTAACCATATAAAGCTGTTTAAAAGGCTGTTCAGGTAAAATTTGAATTAAGTCACTATAAGAACTTAATATTGCAATTAAGAATGATATAAAGCCAGATAAGATTTTATTACATCACATACTTCTAATTGATTGATCAATTAATAATCACAACCACTCAGTATTAGACAACTTCTAAAATGTTATTATTACTGATTTATGTAATCAGTAAAAGCTTAAGTATAAGTTAAATTTAGTATGTTATAGTAGATTAATAATCAAATAAACTACAGAAAAAAAAAGAATAAAAGTTGAATTGCATTGAATTTCATTCATTTTTAAGTTATGTTTCAAATAAATTTGGTATTCCACCAACAAAGTATAAAAAAATCATGCAAAAAAAGTAGGGTCCGAGATTATAATAATAAATTCTGTTCTTAACAGCTTAATTTTCCTTTTTTGCTTTTACAAATATTAAAATTTTATAATGCATAGCATCGATCTATCAATATATGATTAACTTACAGGTGCAAATCCATACAAATACATATGAAGTAAGTTTATATAGCAGTTACTGCGATCAATCCAATAATACTGTTTACTGAGAAAAAGTCATTTAATCTTAAAAACGAAGTGAAGTGCTTGTAAAATTTCCTTCTTAGAGGTTTATGCCTCTAAAAAAAAGGAGGAGGAAGACGTTAATAATCTACAAAAAGAATTTGAAAAAAAAATTAATATGTATGTGGATTCTGATGTTGATATGAACGTGGGTGCTTATACAAACATGGACTTGGATGCTTATACAAAAGTAGATGCTTATATGAAGGTAAATGCTAATATGGATGTAGATGCTGATATAAACATGGATGCTGATATAGATGCATATACAGATTTAAGAGTGGATGTGGATGTGAATATGAATACAGATGGTAAAAGCATAGATAATAATAAAATATTTAGCCTTGAAAAAGGTTTTTTTTTTTTACATAACTAATTATTTTATATTACTTTGTCTAAATATTGGTTTTCTTATTAGATAATACTTTTGTTGATTGAGATCTAGCTATAGAGCATATCGAAAAGCATAATATAGAAAATAAATTTGAAGTTGTAAAACATCGACTTCAAAAAAATAAAAGAAATAAAGTTGTTTGTTATACTTTTGAATGCAAAAAGTTTCACGAATACCATCTCAAAAAAAAGCAGACACAGAAGATAATCATAAATATAAGAGCATGAAAATAAACTGCCAATAGAAGGTTAATCTTTACCTTTCTGGGAGTATTATATGTGTTACATTAATATGTAAAGATCACAACCACCTGCTAGCCAAAAACTTACAAAGTATAGGATCAAAGTTTCAATGTCTTAGTTTTGAAATGCTCAAGAAGGTTAAATTTCTTACAAATATTGGTTGTGGCATAGGTCTGATTATTTATGAACTTCAAGAATGCTTTCCTGATGCTGTAATTCATCTAAAGAATGTGTACAATACAATTTGTCATTTTCGACATAACAAAAATCTAATAAAAACCAATGCAGCTGTAACATATAAGAAATTAATGCAACTATAACATGAAGAACATGGGTGGTTCGTTGATGCGAGGTTAAAGGGAGAAGACAATCATCTTACTGGCTTATTTTGGATGCGACCATCACAAATTGATTTATGGAGAAGGTTTTATAATGTTGCAATCAATGATAATATGACTTAAACTAATAGGTCAGTGTTGTACATTTTGATGTCTATGGTCTTTTTTAACCTGTCTTTGTCCATATTCATGATCATTCATATATGTTTACACCTTAATGGTTTAAAAAATTCATTTAATTATATGTAAATTAGAGTTTAATTTTTTTTTTAACCCACTCTAATGACATTATTGATTTAATTATTTTTACTTAATGAATAAATGAAATTAAGTTGCTATAGTAAAATTTTAAGTTATTAATATTTTTTTTTTTGTTGCAATTTAATTGTTGATTAACAATATCATAATAGGTACAATATGTATTTATCTCTTACTATCGTCATGGATAATTATGCATGCTCTCAATTGGCTGTGATAGCTATCATATTTAATGAGACAAAGAAAACCTATCAGTGGATTCTGGAGTGCCTATTATGTGCTACTAATGGTCTTATGCCAAAAGTATTATTTACAGATGCAGACCCTGCTATGATTGTGGCTATCTATGAAACTATTTCTTCAATCAAATATAATTATTGCATATGGCACATTTGTAAGAACCTTGAGAAGAATTTAAAAAGAAAGCTTCATAAGAAATATTCTGATTTTATAGCAGCATGGAGCAAATGTCAAAACAGTTTTTCTGAGTATGAATTTAAAAGATGATGGTATTGTAATAAAATTTACTAAAAACTATCAAGCTGTAGCAAATTTTAAAGTGATGAGTGTTAAGTAGAAGATCTTTTTATTTAAAGGAAAATAAAATAAAAGAAAAGAAGAAATATAAAAATAAATAAAATAATAACT